ATGATGATGATGAAGGTGAGGAGGAGATGATGATGATGATGATGATGATGATAGAGGTGGAGAAAGAACGATACGGGTGAGGAGGAGAAGGAGAAGGAGGAGGAGAGTTAACAATGGAGACGATGAAGAAGGAAGACGAAGCCAATGAAAAGAGGAAAATCGGGAAGAGGAGGAAGAGGACAAAGAGGATTAACGATACGGATAAGGAGGAAGGGGGGAAGGAAGATGACAATAAATATAGAAGGAGGAGGAGAAGGAATATGGAAACGGGACGAGGAGGAATGACAAGGGGGGGGGAGGAAGAACATGGCAACGACACCCATCCATTTCCAAGAATTTGCATAATCTGGCCTAATGATAGCTGGAGACGGGAGGCTGGCAGGCTCCTGACAGTCTTATCTCTGACTGATAGTGGGAAGTAGTGTCCTCTCTCTCTCTCTCTCTCTCTCTCTCTCCCCGTTTCACTCTAATTCATCCTTCTCATTCTCTCCCTCTCTCTGTCTTAGCCTTAGTTCCTGTCTCCTAATCCCCTGTTTTAGCATAATCCCTTCCTTCCCATCTCTCAATATGTCAGATTAGTTTCTCTGCCTGCATAAGTATATAAGCACTTAAATATACGTACACTATGTATGTATGTCTTCACACACACACACACACACACACACACACACACACTTTATACAGTTGCACTAACATTCAATTACTGTATACACTATATCAAGGGTCAATATCTTAGGTCATTTCTCCCTCCCTCTCATCCCTCTCCACACTCATAATTCCGTATCTCAAAGCCTCTCACACCCACATTCCCTCCCCATGCACCCACACCCCACCTCCCCTCAATCAACCCATCCTCACCCACATCCACACCTCTCACTCTCTTCTCCCACTCTCCCACAATATTATTCCCTCCCCCACTCCACCCTCTCTCCCTCATCTTCCCTCTCCCCCACGACACTATTATTCTCCCCAACACGAACATCTCCCCCATGTTCTTCCTCAAAAGGCTCCCCTTCTCGTCCTCCCCCTGTTGCAGCATCAACCTCCTCCTCCTCCCTCTCTCATCTTCTCAATCCAGTGATGCTCTTCCTCGCGTTTCTCATATTTCCCAGCGGAGATCTTAGCACTGTCTTGCTCCAGAGCCATCAACCTACACGTCAAAATCTCGTTAGCCCCTTCGTTGAGCCCTTCGACTGTACCCTTCTACCTGTACCTTTCTACCTGTCCCTCACTACCTCTCCTACATTACCGGTACCGAACTACCTGTCATACATTACCGGTACCAAACTACCTGTCATAAATTACCGGTACCAAACTACCTGTCATACATTACCGGTACCAAACTACCTGTCATACGGTACCAAACTACATACTGTTACATTACCGGCCATTAAACTACCTGTCATACATACCATACCAAACCTCATACATTACCGGTACCAAACTACCTGTCATACATTACCGGTACCAAACTACCTGTCATACATTACCGGTACCAAACTACCTGTCATACATTACCGGTACCAAACTACCTCATAAACCACCAGTCCGATATACGATACATCTCCTATTCCCTAATCCTCTTGACATTCCCAATACCCCAATTCCAACTTCACTCTTCACATTCCTATTCCCATTCCAGACCATCATCCCCATCCCTCCCTCCCTCCCCCGTAAGTCCTACCTCCGCTGACTCCCCGCTGTCGTGTTTGATCTACAGAATCCGTCCAAGAATCCTTATATAGGGAATCGAAGCCGTGTTCTTTAAGTCTGCGTTGGGGATCTCTTCTCTTTTCGTCCTGAGCAGAGCAGAGACCAGAGGAAGGATTCTCAAAGGTTTCTAAGGTATTTTTTTTCTCGTAACTATAGCTGTTTGAAAGCTTTGACTTTGACACAAAAAAAAATCTCAAAGTTTCGTAAGATAAAATTTTCCCTCGAACAGATGTGAGAAAGCATTAATCTGTCTCATTTCAGTTACGACAAACAAATAAATTCACAAAGGTTCGTAAATTAAATAATCACCCTTAATAAATGATGTAAAACGTATCAAAGATGGCGCAGAAAGTGTACCGAGACTACCTTAAGTAAGACAGGCTCTTTCATCTTCATTTTTACGTGATCGTCTAGGGGGTTCAAAGGTGCCACGACACTGAGGAACCTTTGTGTCTACATGAGGCGTTAATGACGCGCCAAAGGATTTTTGCACATTGTTTAGAAGGTCACCTTAAAGGGTCACAGCCGACATGATGGCAGTGGTGGTCTTTGGGATCCATCATATACAATTTTAAAGGTACACAAGCTGACATTATACTAGTGATTGCTTACGCTCTCTGAACCTTCACTTTCAAGGTTCGCAATAGAGAAGCCACGAACACGCTTTCAAACCCTGAAATAACTCCATATACGGACAAATATAATTCAATAAAAACCTTAATTGGAAGAAACGAAAAATACAATTAGTAGGAACTCGAGAAAAAATTTAATTTGTAAAGGACCACTTGAGCCTTGGGTGCAGCGAGTGTGTCATCACGTGAACCACGGTCGATGGGACCAACTGGTTCGTCACCCACTGGCAGATAACAAGACATCGAACCTTGAACTCTTAAAGCTCCACGGCTCCCCCAACTACTCCCCCAAGGACGAACGAGAGAGAGAGAGGGAAAATGAAAAAGAGTGAGAAAGAGAGAAAAGGGACTATCTTACACAGTTACAGGAGTGAGAAAGACATTAATTCTGACCCAGCTCTCCTCCTCCTCCCTCTATCTCTCCTCTGTCCAAAACCTTCCTCCACGCCTCCTATCACACATCTCCCCTCTTATCTACCGTTTCCCTTCCCACCCCAGTTTATCTTGCTTCTATTCACCTCTATTTCTTTATCTGCTGTTTCTCATCTTCCCTTTCCTTAACTTGATTTCGTTCTCCTTCTTTATTCATTGTTTCCCTTCCTCTTCACTTTCTTTCGTGTCAATTCCTTTCTTTATCTTCTATTTCTATGTCGCATTTTCGTCGCCAGTTTCCATTCCCTTACTTTATCTTCACGGCCTGCCTGCCCACTGCTTTCTTCAGTTCTCCAGTTCTTCATCCCAGTCACTTAAGAGACTGCTTCCTACACCACTACCTTGCCTCGCCGACCACAGGTGAGATACCTTGAAAAACTCGTAAATTAATCTGTCACCAATACCTGGAGTTAGGAGACTGTCCCTTACTAGTGTATTTAATCTATGACAAAAATACTGCTAGACAATATGGAGATGATTTTGTCCTAAGACTCTACCCAACCGATAGTTATTATGCGATTTCATATTTTTTTTTCTTTCTGTGTCGTGGAAAAAGAATTGTCGGAAGAGTCTTTGGAAAACTAGAAACTGAACCATCTCGCACGCTTACCCACTCTTTCTCTTCCGCTTCTTTTCTACGTTCATATTTACACCTTCTCTTCTTCTGTTCCTCTTTAGTATCAGTTTCCTCTTCTCTTTTCGTTGCTCCGGGTTCTGAAGATCGCCCTCACACGGTTCTCACATCTCAAGACGTTCCTCCCTCCTTACCGTCTTGTATCTTGTCGTGGTCATGCGCCATGGTCCCTCCTCACTCCACCCCTTCACCTCTCCAACATCTCACCAGGTGTGTGCGGGTGCGGGCGGCGGCAGAGGGGCGGCAGGGCGGCGGGCGGGCGGCGAGATCAATGGGCGGTGAGTCGCTGTTTGCCCACTGTCACACGGACCGTTGCCCACCTTAATTTATCGTTCCCCGCAGGATTTCCAACTCGGAATCTCTTATTCCGGGTCAATTTATCGCTGGTCGTAGAGGTCACGAGTTTCTCAACAAATTTGTTGTCGACGAGGTAAATAGGGGGGGGGGGGACCATGAGGGGGGGGTCATAAAATTCGGCTTTGGAATCTCTCTTTACAATCGTGATGTCTCAATGTCTTGCAAGTTTTCCCTGGCTGGCTGGAGAACAAACGATACATTATACACGTGATGCAGAAGGACAGGCAACACATTATTCACCACCGCCGCTGTTGTGTTCGGGATCATGACCACACACGACCCCAGGGGACTTTTAAGACACGTGCTGGGGCTATACGTCTTCTCGTGTGTCCCGTAAACAACATGCTATTGACTCCTAATTTGTCTGCCATATAACACAGCTCCTAGACTCGAACCTCTAATGGGTCTAAGTAATTTTTTCTTCCAATCTTATATCTTTCCGTATCACCATCATCATAATTACTACTCTTTAATAATCAGTTTATCACTATTATCACCACTATCATTACTTAATTATCATCAACACCACTACCACCTTCTTCTTCTTTAACAACCCAATTTATTTCTTTGTTTTGCCCTCTTCTTTGTATAACGTTTTTCTCCTCTTCCTTCCTTTTCTTTCTCTACTTCCTCCTCTTCCAATATCCTTCCATTTTTTATACTTTCTTTCCACTTCATTCCTATTCCAGTTTCCTTCAGGTTTCATCATCTCTTCTCTCATCATCGCCACCTCTTCTTGAGACTATCCTTCCTCCTCCGGATCAATTCGTTCCCCTTCTTCCTTCTCTCCCTCTACTACCTCCTTCCACTCTTCCTCATTCCCCTCCTTCCACTCTTCCTCCTCCTTCTCCCTACCTAGTCTTCTTCCTTCTCCTCCTTACCACTAATATCTCCTTATCACCAACACCACAGTCATTACGTCATCATCTCCCTCTAATTCCCTCTCTTCACCTGTTTTATACATCTACCCCCACCCCTCATCCACCTACCCCTCCTTCACCCACCCCTCCTTCACCCACCCCTCCTTCACCCTCCCCTCCTTATTCCCTCTGCAAACATCTCGTTCTCCAAGTCTCAAACTATTTCCAGTAGTGAGAACCGAGAGTTTGGCGACCTGGAGATACTGGACCTCCTCTCACTAACACGACTCTCTGATGTGTTGAGACGACTCCTGTCTGTACCAGTGATTCCTTTTGCCTCGAATGTAAGAACTGTCACTTATCACGACTTACCTTCTGAACGATGAAGAGCTCGTACACGGCGCAGATGGCGATAACGGTGATGCCTTGTTCCTTACAGAGCATGGCGGTGGTGGCCAGGATCATGGCCAGCAGCAGGAGGCGCCAGTCTGTGGCCACTCTCGCCCCTCGGGGACCCCGCACTTGCCGCGCCGTCGCCCCTGAGTACGCCACTAGCGCCCCCAGGAAGAAGAGAGAGGACAGCGTCTCCGCGCGGCCCACCACACCCGTCACCTGCAAGAGAGAGAGAGAGAGAGTGTGCATTAGTAACTTCCTCTAAGAGTCTAAGAAGATTAATAATATGAAAGAGATCACACAGGGTACAAGGATGAAGTAGAAGCTCAGTGCATATAAGAAACAGGAACTGGTAATCTGTAAACATTCTGTAGAGTAAGAAATACTTTGTGACGATAAAAAACAATAACGACCATCATATACCAAGGTTATATCAGTATACATCCTGAAAATGAACAATGACTATGGGAGCCTAAACCTGAAATAAAGAATTACCAACAACATAACCCACATCTATGAGCAAACTATAACGAGCTATTCCTTGGTCGTTATCTATTGTTGTCCAGAACACCAATTATCAAATGACAATTCACTGTCGTCTTCCCGATCGTTTACTTTACAATAATACACACAAGGTAAACACTGTGTGCTTCAGTTCCTCTCCGGCCCAAAGGACGTATAGTACATAAGGTCATCTTTTTATAAACACATTAACTTGAAGCATAACAACAACTCCATTAGTAAAAAATTTTGGCAATATTTATGTTACGTAGAAAAGACAAAATAGCTATTGATAATAACGAGGTACCAAGCAGTGTAGAGCAGCTGCACACACACACACACACACACACACACACACACACACACACACTATAATTTACATCTAAAAGACAAATGCAGACAAATGCTGTATACCTACAAACAAATTCAAGATTCACCTGACACTTCGGTAGAAATCCTCACATTATGGGCGTTAATACAGTGTATCCTACTGTATACAGTGAGCTTTATGTCCTGACACTAATAAGGACATTTGGCCAGGCTAGTTAATCCCTAGGGCCGAAACTAGAAGTCCTAATATAAGCTTATCTCGTCTTTGTCCAACACACTCATGGGACCAACACACTCATGGGACCAACACACTCGTGGGACCAACACACTCGTGGGACCAACACACTCGTGGGACCAACACACTCGTGGGACCAACACACTCGTGGGACCAACACACTCGTGGGACCAACACACTCGTGGGACCAACACACTCGTGGGTCCAACAAGAGGCAATACAACAAAAGCATCGAACAAAGTCATTACTTGCAAGCAGCTATGTCAACAGAAGGAATGGATCACGACCTTCTCTGGCAAACAAGCAAACACGACAGACTTAAATGAGCTTCTGACCTCCTCCTCCTCCTCCTCTCTTCCTCCTCCTCCTCCTCTGCCTCCACTGTCCTCTTCTCTTCTCTCCTCCACCTCTACATCTTCCACTTTCTCTTCCTCCTCCTCCTCCTCCTCCTCCTCCTCTGCCTCCACTGTCCTCTTCTCTTCTCTCCTCCACCTCTACATCTTCCACTTTCTCTTCCTCCTCCTCCTCCTATTTCTCATCTTTTTCTTTTTCCCCTTCCTTTATCTCGTCTCCTCTTCTGTATTCTTGTCTTCTCCTCCTCCTCTTTCTCCCCCTCTTTTATCCCTTCTACTCTTCTATATTATCGTCCTCTCTCTTCTCCTTCCCATCTCTCACCTCAGTTAGATCTCTGAGGACAACCAAACATGTATAAATTCTTCACAGTTTAAGTAAAAGGAATCGCTTCGCCAGGAGGTGAGAGTCAGGCCTGAAGGATCAAACATGAGGCTTTGTCAACTGTGAACAGGAACAACTCTGCTGACTTGGAACGACTTTGTTGACCTGGAACGACTTTGTTAAACTGTGAGAGTATTGTATTGTGTTGTATTATATTGTGTAATTATACTGAAATGTAACGCTGTTCATTTTTATATAATTTTTACCCCCCAAGTGCTGGACTGCCCCAGTGACTGTTCGGATCTGTTGTCCACACGGTCAGCCGAGTTGGGGTGGCGCCAGTAAGGACAGTTGTACCCTGACCCGCATCGAGAGAGGATCACTAGTAACCTTGATATTAAAGTCGACTAGAACTCCCCGTTTTGCTTGACCTTGAGTGACCCGGAATGACTTTTTGACCCGGAACGAGTCTGTTGGCCCGGAACAACTATATCAACTTTGAACTCAACGACGTTTTTAACCCACAATTGACCTTCCACAAACTTCTCCCCCTCTTCCCCCTCTTCCCCCTCCCCCTCTTCCTCCTCCTGCTCCTCCTCCTCTTCCTCCCACTCCAACACCGCTGCTGCCTGCATCTGTTATGTGTTAATTAAATAATAATTCCTCGCGGAGGGATGAAGGAGGAACGTGGGAGAGAGGGCAAAGTGGGAGAGAGAGGGCAAAGTGGGAGAGAGGGAAATGTGAGAGAGAGGGGAAAGTGGGAGAGAGGGAGAATATGGGAGAGAGATAATGAGATATATGACAGAAGAGAGAGAGAGAGATATGAGAGATAATATGACAGGTAGATAGATATAATGAGATATATGACACAGGTAGATAGAGATAATGAGAATGGCAAAGCAACGACCTGAAACTTCTGAAATAAAACGGAACAATAAGATATTTGTCTACTAAGTCTCTTCGCTGGAACACTTATTGATACGAACATATGAAACACGAAACACCAAATGGATGGCACACAACAGCTGTCTCCCACCGAGCACTAAGTCACACAACTGTTGACCCCACATCTGTTGACCTCCACACCTGACGACCCCCACACCTGACAACCCCACACATAACCCCAACATCTAACGACTCCCACACCTGACGACCCCACACCTGACGACCCCCCACACCTGACGACCCCCACATCTGACGACCCCACCTGACGACCCCCCCACACCTGACGACCCCCACACCTGACGACTCCCACACCTGACGACCCCCCACACCTGACGACCCCACACCTGACGACCTTCCGAGGACCAGAGGACTCCCAGAACGACAGACTAGAGGCTCACAACTGATAGCATCCATCAGTTTGTATACGACCAAATCATACATCAAGTCTGGTTACTATATCAGCCTGGATAGTACTGGATACTACTGATTGAGACAATAGACAAACAGATAGACATATATACCGACTGATACAGACAGACAGACAGACAGACAGACAGACAGATTGGCAGGCATGCAGAATTATAGACGGAAGGATTGACAGTCATACATAACAGATATACAGACAGAGATAATAGACAGACAATGATAGCTAAATAGACAGTCAGACATACAGTATAGCCACAGACAGACATACAGAGAGACAAACACAGAAAGACAGACAGACAAACAGAGAGAGAGATATAACCAGACAGAGACAGAGATAGCTAGACAGACAGACAGACAGACAGACAGACAGACAGACAGACAGACAGACAGACAGACAGAACCAAGACCCTAAATAAAAGTCAGTCAAAGGAAATGCTAAGTGAAACGTGAAACACAAAATAAAAAATAAATGAAAACAATAATAACAATAATAATAAATGAATACTAGAGAAATATATCTTACGGAACTTTAAAAATAATCTATTTCTTGATCTTACAAATTTCCTTTGAAGATTTATTTCATCTTAAATTTACTTCATGTTATAGATATATTTTCCCAAGATTTCTTCCTCAAACATGTGTCTTGGTCTTCAACTTAGTGAGAGATATATTTCACCTCTCCAATTGTCTTATTGAGATATATTTCTTCAACTATAACCACGTTTATTTTTATACATTTCAAGTCCCACACGCTTTTAAATTGGGATATTTTTCTTGACGTTAATTTTTCTTATTGAAATATATTCCCTCGTTATATATTTTTTTGTAATGGATATATTTCTCATGTCAGGCTTTTTTTCCCCTTCATCTAACAGTCAACGCACACAACTGAAGCTAACAGCCAACGCACATAACGGAGGGCTAACAGTCAACGCATACAATGGAAGCTAACAGTCAACGCACACAACAGAAGTAACAGTCAACGCATACAATGAAAGCTAACAGTCAACGCAGATTTATGAAGACAAACAGAGGTTCACAATCAACGCATTTTGTTTAGATACTTTCACGCGTTCACCCACAGGTAGTCAACGACATTATCTCTGGCGTTCAAGACCGAGGAAGAATCCAAGAGAAGGACCCGAGAAAGTGTTTCAAGGACCACCTGAGGCCTGGACGGGAAGAACCTAAGAGGGCACACTGAGGGCCGGAAGGAAAGGACCCGAGAGGTGCTCCCGAAGGCCTGAGGGATAGGACAGTTGAGAAGGTCCTGACAAGAAATGGCATCCCATAATCAGCAGAAAACGTAGGAGAGGAATAAATATTGAGACGCTGAAGTCTCACAGGACAGTGGAGATAAGTGAGACACGGGGAGATAAGAGATAAGGGGGAGACACGGGGAGATAAGAGATAAGGGGGAGACACGGGGAGATAAGAGATAAGGGGGAGACACGGGGAGGTAAGTGAGACACGGGAAGACAAGTGAGAGACATGGGGAGACAAGTGAGAGACATGGGGAGACAAGTGAGAGACATGGGGAGGTAAGACACACGGGGAAATACGAGACACGGGAAAATGAGAGACACGGGGAGATAAATGAGAGAAAGAGAAGAATATAGAAGACAAGAAAAATAAGGAGAGAGAGATAATAGACAAAAGAAAGAAAGAGAAATTATAAGAATAAGATAAAATATAAGAAAGCGAATTAATAATAGAGAAGAGAAAGAAAATAAAGACGACAGAAACTGGGAGAATAGAGATGGGAGACGATAACATGAGAGATATTAAGGTAGAGGTAAGACGAGAAGAGAGACAGAAGAGACACTATAGTAAATAAGAGATAAGAATAGAAAAAAGAATAAGAGGGGATAAGATAGAAGAGAAAAACGAAAAATGAGAGATAAAGGAGAGATAATAACAAAAGGAGGAGAGAGACGAAAAGAGAGATATAGAGACGAGAAAAGTCAAGAAAAGAGGTGTAAATGAGAGAATTAGGAGAAGAGAGATAATTAGAGCAAATAAAAAGATAGAGAAGAAAGGAAAAGCAAACAAGAGACGAGAGAAAATAATAGAGACAGGAAAGGAACTAAAATGGAGAGATGAAGGA